GAGAGATGTAGATAGATTGTGAGATCTATGAAAGACTTTTAAGAAGAACACGACCTTCAGCGATGAAACAATAGTGACGATTTCAGATCAGATTTCACCCTCTTCAGATTTCATAATTAAAATTTCCATTCTTTCGGGATCTAACTCCCGTTCATTAGCCACTATTATTCTGATAGACTCAAAAAGGGTTAGAGAAAAAGTGATACTGTAGATATAGTAAGCAATGCAGTGCAACACATGTCTTGTCACAACGCACCCCAAAACAGCTTGCTTACCTACTTAAAAGTGCTAGACTATGCAGTATGCAAACATTGGCCATTGTAACCCTAATTGCCAGTACTCTTTAGAACTTTCAAGTTACACCATCTCTTACAGGGAACTCCAAGACAAAGAAGCCATCCGGATCGTGGGTCTCCAGAAAAGCTTTCGGCACTGCCGAAGACCGGAGATCAAGGCCATTGATGGTATCGACCTGAGCATCTATGAGGGACAGATCACGGCTGTGCTGGGTCACAACGGCGCGGGGAAGTCCACGCTGTTCAATATCCTGACTGGACTGACGGCACCCACTAATGGGACGGCCTATGTCTATGGACTGGATGTTAGGTGAGTTGATAATGTGACTTCTTAGGCTCCATCTTACTTTAACAAACGTCAAAAATCTGTCAAACTCTACACAAAAAGCACCGGTTATCGTTAAAGTTACTGTTAAAGTTAGGTGGTGCAATTCAGCTTTAGTATTTCAGTTGGAATATGCAGAATGAATGGTAGTTCTGCTGGATCATAGTCAGTTCTGGGTAGGACGAAAGGAGTGGCCGTATATTAAGCAGTAAGTGGCAAGATGTGAAAAGGACTAAAGAGGCACCGAAAGACTATCTCTGTATGCTATGTAAAAACAAATGGAGGATTGGAGATTTCGATTTTTTTCGGAACTAGACAAATTAAATGAGGTCGTCACAGTTCCTATCAGTTCCTCTGAATTGACAAATATGTAATTGAAACTTCTCCATCGCCTGTTTGTGATTGTTCCTCTGTTACAATCCTGTATTAGGAAGTGTGGTTTTCAAGAACATTATCATTGTTTCAGGGATCCAAACGACATGCACGAGATCCGGCAGATGATAGGCGTGTGCCCGCAGCAGGACGTTCTCTTCGACCTGCTGTCAGTCAAGGAACACCTACAGTTCTTCTCAGCAGTCAAAGTTAGTAAGAAGTTTTCCTCTCGTTCTCTCATCTTCCTTTAGTATTGTACTTCTTAACGTACTTAGTATTAGAGACAAGATCACAAGAGATGATACGAGAAGAAAAGACTCCATTCGTTCGTTTCAGCCAAATGACCACTGCTGAAAGGCCTCCCCCAAGGATTTCCATCGACCGATCCTGCGCTGCCCTCATCAGGTTCTTCCAGTAACATTCAGCAGATCGTCGGTCCACCTAGTGGGGGGCTTGCCCACGCCATTGTCTTCTTTAGTTTTGTTTATTAAATTCTTGGCTATAGAAATAGACAGGACTGAAAGGTGATAAGAGGAGGACGGACTTACAGCATAGGCACTGTTTCATGATTTCAACAGGATTAAGTACCTACGAATATCTTTGTATTTAACTGCAGTGGGAGCAATTGCCCAAGAAGTGAAAGATCCCTCTAAGGCATAAAATTTTGTCAAGTGAAAAATCCCTTTTTAGCTGTTGAGTTTCATGACCTTTCAAATTATAGGGAATCCCAACAAAAAGGCGTCCAGATGAAATCCACAAGGCACTATCTGACGTCGGCCTGCTGGACCAAGCAGGAGTGTTCGCCAAGCATCTCTCCGGCGGCCAGAAGAGGAAGCTTAGTATAGCCATCGCTTTCATTGGAGATCCAAAGGTATTCTACTTCTTCACCAATATCGTTTTTAGAACTGATGAGAGTAATCTCGATCGATCGATCGATCTAGCATGTTTCTGGATTGAATTGATGACATTGTAGTGATTTAACTCTTTTAGTAAAAAAATACTATATTGCTAATGTTTTCATAGAAAATACTACAAAAAACAATAATTCCAAAAAACTCTAGAACTTAAAACTCTATTCAGTAGTGCACAATACAATTTACAGCACATGACAGACTAAAGGTACATTTTTGTTGCGAAATAGTGTATTACAACGGAATAAGACGCCACTATGTTTATTTTCATGTGCTGCTTGCTGTACCTCTATGATCTCATCATCAGAAGGAATTTTGTAATTCCTTGAATCCAATGCTTAAACTGACCCTTCCTAATTCTAACCCTGACAATTTTATACTTGACCAGAAAATATTCCTTCCAGATAATAATCCTGGACGAACCAACGGCAGGAGTAGACCCAGTATCCAGAAGACAGACGTGGCGCATCCTGCAGCGAGCCAAGAGAGGGAAAGTGCTGCTTCTGACCACGCACTTTATGGATGAGGCCGATATACTGGGCGATCGGAAGGCAGTCATCAGTAAGGGCAGGGTAAGGAACTGTCTGTTATCCTCCATTTGCCTCTGGTTATAGAATAGAGGATCGTCCTCTTCTAGTGGAGCCTGATGAAGATGATGATGGTGATAAACGATTTATAACCTTATATCTGGACTAACCTTATTCATTTTCTGCCTATGAATTGGGCAGCTGCAACTGCTGATCGAGCTTGGAGCATTATCATAATGAGCTGAGAAATGTCTAGATGTTAGACATCTCAGACAAAAATAAGAATTATCGAGACCAGCTTTGAATTTTAATAAGCATGTCAATGTTTAAAGACAGTGTTACTAAAACTGTACCTATAATAATCTTTCGGTATCTTTTCAGGTGCGGTGTGCGGGCACATCGCTATTTTTGAAAAATAAGTTTGGCATTGGATACCATTTAACGCTAGTATTAGACGGTAAGAGCTACTTCCTTTTACGTAATATCAAATTAGCTACATGTTGGGCGCCAATAATTATTTTACCAAATTATTTTTAAAAGTTTGCGGTGGAGCATAGTAGAATAAAACTCAACAAGTTAATACAATTCAAAAAGTGTTTAAGTCTCAACACAAACAAACAAGATCCTTTCCACCATGTTGGGCGCCAATTTTCAATAATACAGAATCTGATGAATTCTGTTTGCTTCTTTATATAGAATTTCTGTTTCTTTAATTTTTTGGTTACAATTTCATCATCAACTCTCTAAATACGAGTAATAACCAAGTTTTTGTGCGATTTTTTCATACACCACGTTGGGCGCCAAAATTTTATTAATTTATTCAC